AGCAAGACCCTGTCTCAAAAAGACCAAAAAAAAAAAAAAAAAAGAGAGAGAAGAAAAGGTTTTCTTAATATTTGACTAGCAAGTCAGCCTTTGCAAGCCAGTGGTCCCAAACCTGAGACACTGCTGGGGATGTATTTGTTAAAATGGTGCATATATTGATGCATTTTTGTGAGCATTTAATATTCAGCAGTACAAAGTAGAGGAGTTTTAGTTTTTAACAAGAAATCTAAATTTAACTACATCTAGAAAACCATTTAATCCCATGTCTACATGATCTCACAAGCACAAAAAGATAAATGCAGAGATACTCAGTCCAGAATTGTTCATAATACCAACCCTAGAAACCAACTCCATGCCCATTCATCAGGAAACAATTACACTTAAAGGTATGTCTACAAGTCAAGTGTGGAGTACACCAGCTACGAGGGAGGCTGAGGCAGGAGGATCTCAAGTTTGAGGCAACTTAGAAAGACCTTGTCTCAAAATAAAAAGGGCTGAGGATGTATCCCAGTGGTACAGCATGCCTAGTATGAGAGTGTGTGTGTGTGTGTGTGTGTGTGTATGTAAAAGATGATTGTGCATTTTGGAAAGTAGTATAGCTCTGCATCTGCTGATAATCAGTGTGGTCAACTACATATTCCTGGATGAAATAAGCTCATTATGGAGGTTCATGTGTCGGAGGCTGGGGATGTAGGTCCATGGTAGAACATGATCATGCACTAGGTCCTAGATTCAGTCTCTAGCACACAGGAAATAAAAAGATCACTGTGTTAATTTGTGAGCTAATCAATTTTTAAAGAGGAAGAGCTTGTTTTGGCCCATGGTCTCAGGGGCTTCAGTCCGTGATACACAGGCCTGCTGCTTTGGGCCTGTGGGGACACCATACACGAGGACCCCACAGAACTTTTGTTTATGTGAGTTAGACACACATTCATAGTTACCATACTGAAACACAAAACTAAGAACCCAGATGATCCTCAGTGGTCTGGGGTATAGGCTTAAAAAAAAACCACACACGTGCACACACACAAAAACTAAGATTTCTAAAAATTTTATTAATTCATTTAAAAATAACAATATACCTAATATATTAACAAAAAACAAAATAATATATTTTGTAAGAAGCAAGTATATCTTGGCCCCATTAAAGCACTGGACTGTTTTGCATTTTCACAAGTTTCTTCCATTCCTGGTTCAGCAGGAGCCAATTCTATTCTCCTACCAGATTCTGCATGACAGCCGTATATTTGGTTGTCAGGGCTGCCCACAAAGGACGAAAAGACCACTCAGCTTCAGCAACTGAAATTTACTTTCTCACAACTCTGGAGGCCGGTACTGTAGTTCAAGACCCAGGTGTCACACGTGGTCTCTCCCGAAGCCGCTGTCCTTGGCTTATGGACGCCCCCACCCCCGTGTCCACATTTCATCTTCTATACAGGACTCCAGGTTGGTCAGGGCCCCCAGCGGCCCGTTTTAACTTAGTCAGACCTGTCTCCCTCCCTCCCTCTCTCTGCCCATCTCCAAACACACTCACACTGTAAGGCATTGGGCACTTAAGGTTTCAGCACAGGTGTTCTGGAGGGCACAAGTTCGCCCACAGAGGTGAAGAGGCAAACAGCCAGCAAGGGCAGAGGGGAAGGACTGAGGGCAAACTGAGTTAAACCTCTGAAAACACATACATTTATAACCCAAACCTACCCACTTACAAAATTGTATAGAACACAAGCAGACACAAGTGGGTATTCTGTTAACCCTCAGAGTGAGGTCGCCACGTTACACAAACAACATGCTTTTTGTCTTTTTCAGATAGGGCTTCACTATGCAGTTCAGGCTGGCCTTACACTCACTTTGTAGTCCAGGCTGGCCTTGCACTCACAGCGATCCTTCTGCCTCAGCACCCTGAGTGCAAAAGCCTACCACGTGCTGGGGTTACAGGCCTGCACCACCACACCCAGCCCACCCCCTTATTCTTATGAAAATAATCTGGACCTCCCAGATCCTTCCCTAAAAGGTGCTCAGGGATCCTCAGGAGTCCAAAGCCCATGATTTGAGAATCATAAGTATAAGCTGCATGAGCTTGGGCACATTTCTTAAAGTTGTTAAGCTTCAATTTGTAGAACCAGGATAACTATACCAAGTTAATGGGATTGTTATAAAGACTGAATTAACACACAAATACATGACAAGTGGGCACATTCCATTTATCTTCACGGTTATTATTTGTGCATAATCACCTTACTTTTCCTACTGGATATGTGCTGAAAGACAAATGAGCAGGTACCTCTGGGTGACAAAATTTATTTAAGCATCAAAGTTGAAGTTCACACACAAAAGCAGTATGCTTGACGTTTCTTCAGAATGAACTTATTTTACCTTTAAAAATTTTTTTACAAAAAAACAAGGCTATCGTGGCATTCCTCACAGTAGCCCGCCCTGTGTCCTCCAGGGTATACTTTATTTTTTCTCTTCTTTTCAGCCCAAGTTTGCTCTGCAGAGCCAGTTTCTCCTTCACTCTAACTTTTCTTTTGGTATCAGGATTTGAACTCAGGACCTTGCGCTTGCCAGGCAGGCTCTGTGCCGCTGAGCTATATCCCCAGCTCACTTCTACTTTTCAAATAAGCTTTGTCACCACTTTTGTTCTGTTTTTTTGCTCATTTCATTCAATTCTCTGTTCAAGACAAGAAGAATATGGAATACAGCTCCAGAAGAAGAAGTGAACAACCTAAAGCCCAAACTGAAAAGCATGTGGTGAGAAGGCTTAGATCAGATGGAGAACATCTAGTCCTGCTGTTCAAAGGTATCTGACATCTGTGTGAGAAGAAACCTGCTGTCTTGGGGTGACCATCAACACCTATATAGACCAACACTAAATCAGCTTCCCAGCAAGATGGACTTCCTTCTTGTTAACCAGCTGGCTTTTTTAATATAGTCATTTTCCTGGCTAAAAAAGGAAATGCACAGCAAAGAAGGAAGCTGGGCATGTTGGTGCAGACCTATAATCCCAGGACTCAGGAGGCAGAGACAGAAGAACCACCATGAATTGGAGGCCAGCTTGGGCTACACAGAGTATGCAGCCTGAATTACATAGCAAGATCGTCTCAAGAAAGTTCAAAGAAAAGAGAAAGGCACCGCTCCTGTGGTGTCCAGGGGAAGCCCACTGAGGTGTTCTGCTGACTCAACGTGCCTCTGTGGCCAGTGGGTTCCCTTTGGCTCCAGGAGAAGAGTACAGAGCGCGACCCTGGAGTGAGAGCTGGTGTTGTTACAACACTGGTTTCCACTCCATGTCCAGTTTAAGAAACCCTGGGCCTCAATGAAAACAATCATTCTGAGTATTATTTATACCGGAGCCACTATAAGCACAGAGTTCACTTACGGTGACTCATTGTGTGCCTTCCAAAAAAAAAATTCTGTTTAAATTTATTTTCCATCACAAAGTTTCCTGTTTAGCAACAAAGATTTTGTAAAGCAATAGTGGTAGGAGTCACCCCCACTTTTTTTGAGACAGGTTCTCACTATACAGTTCAAGGTGGCCTTGAACTCACTATGTAGGCCAGGCTGGCCTTGAACCTGCAGCAACTTGCCTGCCTCAGCCTCCAGAGTGCTGGGATTACAGGTGTGAGCCACCACGTCCGGCTTCCCCTTCTCTTCTTAAAGGAATTGAGGGTGAAATCAGTGCCTCACAGGCTAGCTGAAGCAATGTGAAGGTCCAAGGAACTATTTCAGGTCAGAAGGAATCGCTAAGTGGTAACATTAAGCAAGAAATAGTTATAAATACAGTAGCAAATATCATTCAATTCTCTGTTCAAGACAAGAAGAATATAGAATCCAGCTCCAGAAGGAGAAGTGAACCACCTAAAGCCATTTGGTAACAGGAGACCTTGAATTTTTTTTTTCTCCCTTTTTTGGTGAAGGGATGAAACAGGCTCTGCACAGTCAGCTGCAGGATCCTGAATCTGCACAAATCATTTTAGGTCCATCAAAAGTTACCTGATTTCTACCACTGTTGGTTTTTCATAAAAGTTCTACATCCAAAGAACCTGCCGTTCCCTGTTTTCTTTAGTGCTACACTGTTCTCAAGGTTTGTCTGCGCACTCTCAGAAGGAAAAATCAGAGGATGAATTACAATTTTTTCCAATTCTACCAACACCTTTTAACACACAGCATTCTAGAAAACACAAGGGTAGACAGGCACACATGCACTAACCCTCCGAGGGCAGGTGTCACCGCGTCACGGAGCCTCTGGGGACGCACTGTATGCTTGGGAGAGGATGAGTGAAAAAGGCAATAACCTGGGGGAAATGACTATGAAACACATGCTTCCATGCTCAGGAAACAGTAACCTCTGGATTCTAAATAACACAATTTCTAGTTCTATTAACAATTTCGTGTTTGATATACAATGTTACATTTTCCAAAAACTAAACCTAAAAATAAAACGTCCTGCAAACCTAAGTCATAAATCTCTGATACCCCAAAGACATCTTTACCCCTGGCCCTGGCTGCCCACTGGCCTGTGAAAGGACAGGGGGACAGGCAGCGCCGCACGACATGGGGTGCTGGACTGAGGTTGGGTCGTGACTCAGGGCCATCCTGGGACACACTCAGTCCCAGATGCTGAGGTAGGATGACGTTGCAAATTAACAACATGGTGCCATGAACCCTCAAATTAATAACACAATTACACCAGGAGAAAGCAGAGGTCTCTGGGGAGAAAGTGACCCTGCAGGCACCAGCATGTAAGTTCCACATGACAGCGATGGTGGTGACACCAGACTCGCAGACAGCGTGGCTACTGTGGAAATGCGTTTATTCACAAGTGGTCTGTGCAGCCCGCTGGATGCCGGACACTGCCCTCGAGACTCAGCACCCTTCATGCAGGCTCAAGGAAGAAGCCAAGAACAGAGAGGTAGAATCAAGATAAGAATGCGGAGAGGACAAGGATGCCAGGAGAGGACGTGGAGGAGGAGTGGGAGCTGGACTGAGCGCTGCAGAGCCCACGTTCTTCTAGAACTTTCTGTGCAGTCCTGTGGAGGTCATCGTTTCTTTGCAGCCCTGAGAAAGAAACAGAAAAGAGCTGTAATACTGCAACTCCAGGAGGGGCACGGGAAGGCGGGAGTGGGGATGGGCTCAGGGGACCAGGGCCCAACAAATATTTTAAGGACCAACTTTAGAGGCAAATAGACAGGTCAGACAGAGTAACGTTAAAGTCTGTAACAGTTTTATTAAAGCCCTTCAGTTTTTTTTCAGTACTGGGGATTGAGCCCAAGGCCTTCTCACTGAGCCACATTCCCCCTTTCAAGAAATGTTTGGAGAGACAGTCTCCCTAAGTCACTAAGCTGCCCGAGATGGTGTTATACTTGTCTTCCTGCCTCAGCTTCCCAGAGTATTAGGATTACAGGCACTACCACGCCCACTAAATTCCATAACTTTAAGTTATTTTGGTAAAGATAAAACTCAGGGTAGTAAAAGAACTGAAACAGGATCTTGAAGAGGTATTTACACGTTGGTGTTCATACCCCACTATGCACAACAGCCAAGAGGCAGAAGCAATCCAGGCATTCACGATAGGTGAATGGATAAACAAAATAAGGGATGTACATACAATGGAATATTACTCATCTCTTAAAAAGGAAGGAAATCCTGTCACATGACATGACATGGGGACATTAAACTAGCAGTGAAATAAGCCGGTTAGACAAAGATAAACTATGTGATTGTACTTACAGGACACATTAAGAGTGGTCACGATCTCAGACAGAAAGAATGACAGTGGCTGCCAGAGCTGAGGGGGAGGGGGAGGGGGGCTACAGAGTGGTACAGAGCTTCAAGTCTTCCAAGAGGGAAAAGTTACGGAGACGGGTGGTGATGGCCGAACACCATGCCTGCACTGAGCAACACTGAACTGTGCACTGACAGAGTTAAGCAAGCTGTGGTGACTCGGCCTGTAACTCCGGCTGCTGGCGAAGCTGAGGCCCGGGAACTCGGGGAGACCCCGAGGGTGCAGTTCAGTGGTACAGCACTCGCCCAGTGCGTGCAAGGCCCAGGGTTTCATGCCAGGTACCACACGCACACGAAAGCTTAAGACGACAAATTTAGGTTCCGCGTACTTTACCATGAGAAATAATGGCAGGAAAAGCCCAGAGCGAGCCCCGGGAGAAAGGCACGGGCTCCCGCGTGCCCACACCCTCCTGGCTGGCGGTCTGGTGACTGGATGATCAGCAGAGGTGACAGTGAGTTCAGGGGGAACCCCAGGAAAATCACCACCCCATTTCCACAGCACCCCCGTCCCGGGAATGAAGAACCAGGACCCTCTCCTTCAGCACCTCGTGAGGGCTGCCGCAGCCAGTGCTTCGGGAGCCCACCTCAGGAGAAGTCAATCTGCCCGCAGGAGGCGTAGTTCCCAAAGCTGTCCACGGTGAACCTCTGAGAGATGTGAATGGAATTGAGCTTCAGAGAACCGAAGTGGAAGTTCTCAAACAACTGGAAAGGAAGAACAGGAGGCCCACAATGAATAACCCAGAGAATGACAGGTGAAAATAGTAAGCGTCAGGTTCGCGTCAAACCCCAAACCACAACAACCCCAAAAACCCTCTCCTGGTCTTTTTGGAATTGTGAATAAGGATCCTGAGGTGGGGCCGGGGTGAGAAAAGAACAGCCAGCTCCTCCCTCCAATTCCAGACTCCCCTAGAGAAAGAGGGCACGAGAGGAAGACGGCTGGAAAGTCACATCCAAAACCTCTCTACTGAGCAGCTGTGGCCAAGGATGTGTAATAAGCAACTGGGACACCCGTGGATACCCTTACGGCCTGTGGGCCATCCGTGTGCTACTTTCTTACAACTGGATGGAACACAGGCCTCTGCCTCGTGGGCAGCACCTCTTAGGAACACGGACCAACACAGATGGGGCCGGGGCTCCCGGCCCAAGACGAGGGGTAGCGCCAGTGCTCCAGTGAGAGACATCTGCACTGAATGACTGAGCGAGTCTGAGCGATATTTATCAAAAACCTTCTATCCCAGTGGATTCAAACACTCCATGACACTCTTCCACTTTACAAGGGCTTTCCAGGGTGTCAGGGGCACCGAGGACCACGCTCCAGGAGGGACTTCACCTTGTGATCAGCACGTCTATACAGCAGAATCCAAGAATTCATCCCAAGAGAATGAATGCACACTGTGCTTGGCTAAGAGGAAAGGGCTTACCTCTTCTGTCAGGATTCAAGAACTGCTCTTTCTTAAAATGTCAGCAGGCCTCCGAACAGCCCCACGCCCTGTACTGCAGGTGACCCTGGAGCTCGACAAGGCTCAGAACGAGCTCTTCCACTCAGCAGGCGCTCATCCCCCCAAGAAAGCCTCTCCACATGGGGACCCAACACTGCCTGAATACAGCTTCAGGGAGGGACCTCTGCACACTGGCCATGACTGCCTCTTCACTTCCTTTTTTTTGAGACAGGGTCACGTCAGGTAGCTCAGGTTGCCTTGGACTCACTGTGTAACCCAGGCTGGTCTCGAACCCACAATGATCCTCCTGCCTCAGGCTCCCAAGTGCTGGGATTACAGGCGTGCGCCACCACACTGGGGCAGCTTCACTTATTTTTATAACATCTCCCACACCGGTGAACTTCAGCCACTGTTGCCTTTCCTCTTCCTCCAATTAATGGCCTCGAAAAATGCCTGAGGTTCATTAAAGGCTAACTCTACAAAGCCCAGAAAATATTGATTCTTCGACATGACATCAACCTGACCCCAAAGATCTATTTGGAGCTCGTATGCTGCACTGTCTTGTCTTTCAGAAAGGTGACCAGCTCTTGCCTGCATCAATTTACACAATTAACTTCTCTTTCCAGCTTTGGCAACCTGTTCAAACCTTATCCCTTGTTTGTAGAGAAATCCAGACTGAAATGGTTATCTCCTCTCCCTTTGCTGAACATTAATTTGATTTGTTTTTGTTTTTTTGTTGTTTGTTTTTGTTTTCCGGTACCGGGAATCGAACTCATGACCTCATGCTTGCCAGGCAGGCGCTGTACCGCTGAGCTAAATCCCCAGGCCCCTGAACATTAATTTGAAATGAAAGCCACGTCAATGAGACTGACAGATTTATAGTTTTGCAGACTGGTGCCTTCTAGGTCACAGCAAAGACATAACCATAGAGGCAGTAACAGACAAGAAAAAACAAAACTAAAAGGAAACTCGCAATACTCTCAACGAGTACTTAGTTTTAAAGTATTTATTAGAGTAAAGGACACATGGCTATTAATCTCAACCTCTCCCTCACACATCTTAGAACACACTTTCCTCATCACTCTTGCCGCTTTCTCAGGCAGTTCTAGCAGTCCTCTCTCACTATGGCCTTTAGTTGAGCTATAATGCGTGGCTGCCTCTTGTCCTGAGTCAATTAAAAACCTTTACCTTTCATGGTCATTTTGAATTTTAGCAAAGGGCCAGAAATCACACAATACCAGATCCAGTGATTAGGTAGATTTGTGTACATCATGATGGTTTGCATTTATTTATTTATTTATTTATTTATTTATTTATTTTTAATTTATTTAGGTCTTTTTTGAGACAGGGTCTTGCCATGCAGTGCAGGCTGGCCTTGAGCTCACTTTGTAGCATAGGCAATGTGGCAATGATCCTCCTGCCTCAGCCTCCTGAGTGCTGGGATTTCAGGCATGCGCCACCACGCCCAGCTTTTATTTTATTTATTTATTTATTTATTTTTTTTTTTGGACACAGGGTCTCACTATGCAGTACAGACTGGCCTTGAACTTGCTTATGTAGCCCAGGGTGACTTTACCTCATGCCTGGCAACATAATGGTTTTTACAAACTTGATTTTCAGTTGGATGATGCTAAGTACCAGCATTCACTGTATTTTTTATCATATTCTTTTCAATGCGTACTTTTTTGGGGGGTACTGGGACTCAAACTCAGGACCTCATGCTTGCCAGGCAGGCACTGTGCCACGGAACTATATCACAGCCCTCAGTGAGTACTTTTTAAGGACTGGCACCCTACCACCTTCTCTGTTGCCATGTTTCCAAGTAACAAAGACATCATAGCCACATGCTCAAAGGGACCTACAACTTCAATTTGCTTCTGCGGTGCCTTCAAGAAGCAGGCTCTGCCAGAGTCCCCTGCCTCTGGTTGAAAGTACACACGGTGATAATAAAGTTAGCTGGACACGATGTCAATGCAGTATGCACAAAAACTAAGAGAATGAACCTAAACTCTCCCACTCTACTCAGGCCAGTGCAGGCTGGGGAAGGAGTGTGGAAGTCAGATTTAAACTCACACTGGCACACAGGAGCTGCCCAGCTAGGGACACACGATGCTACTTACTGTGCCAACCTGTACAAGGTAAAAGAGTGCAGTGGGCCACAGTCCAGTAAGACGACCAATGTGCAAGCCTTGTAAACTGTAAAATGCTACTGAAAATGGGGAACTTCTGATGATGTTTTTAAGCTATCTCTGCTGTCCTTGACCCTGTATCTACCTAGGTAGTCGGCATTTTTCATATCTTTTGATAACATGGGAGCGAATGTGTTTCTCGTCTGGAAGTTCCTGGTGCAGTGCCAGTCTTCATATTAATCTTTCTTGTCTGTGTTCTTGTTCTCTCTGAATGACTACGATGATTTTGTAACACATGATTTAGAAACAATTTTTCAGTTATTTTATGGCTTACTCATTGTTATATTTTTAGTGTTAAGCTTTTCTTTTAGTTCTATCAATTACTTCTACAGGCTCATTCAAATATAAGCCCTATGCAGTGAAGAGTTGAATCAAAGTATAGACTGCAAGAGCATCTAACAGTAGGCTGCATATAATTTTTATTTTTTATTTTTTATAGGCTGCATATGATAATAAATATGTGCTGGACAAAATGAAAATGAAAACTAATGCTGCAGATGTCTGTGTATATTCCTATCTGAAAAGGAAAAAGAATGACATGCATGTGTATTTGTAAGTTGCCACCAAGGAAACCCTGAACAGGACTTACCAAAATTATATTACTTCTACTCTGGGTGCAAGGGACATATCTCTATTCTAACTAGCTGTCAAGAAATTATTTGTGCCAGGTGTGAGATGCACACCTGTAGTCCCAGCACTCGGAAAGCTGAGGCAAGAAAACTACTACAAGTTTGAGGCCACCCTGGCTGGCTATGTAGTGAGTTCAAGGTCAGCCTGCCTAAACGACATAATGAGACCTTGTCTCAAAAAACCAAGAAACAAGAACAAATTATTATTTGTATAGCTGCTCTTGGTGGCACATGCCTGTAACCTCACCACTTGGGAAGCTGAGGCAGGAGGCTCAAGAGTCTGAAGCCAGCCTGAGCTACGAAGCATAACCCTGTTGAATCCGACCCAACCAAACCGAAGCAAACCAAACCAAACCAGATCAAACCAGAAAACAAACTGTCACCTGTAATGCAAATTTCACATACTCCTTCAAATGTCTTCTCGCTCCTGTGTGTCAGCTTAGCTATGTCCCTGGCTCCAGGCCTGAGGCGAGAGTCACTGAGCACCTGCTGTCCTGCACTTTCCTGCAGGGGCGCGGTCCGCTCTGCACAGATCAGGAGAAAGGAATGCTGCGGACAGGGCGTGCGTGCCTGGCGTGAGTGCTGTGCTTTGTGACCTGCACCCTCTCCCGCACACACGCACACACGCATGTTCTACTTAAGTGAAAAGGTGTACGGAACCAAGACAGGCGGCAAAGGCTACGTGGGATGAGAACAGGAGAGGGGCAGCGGTGAGGCTGTCTGCAGAAGGAACTGAGCAGGGCCTCAGGCAAGTACAGGATGGGGCGGGGGGAGGCAGGTGGTCTAGTTATTTGGGGGGACCCTGAAAGAGGCAGTAAGAGAGCCCATCCAGGAAGAAATAGATGGAGGGGCCCTGCAGGTCAGGTCCCAGAGCTTGCGTCCTCCCAGCAGGGGCGGAAAGCGCTTTTGGGGAGAGGACCAGTCGGTGCCGACTGCAGAAGAGAGCAGGAGAGAGGTGAGGCGACCCTGGCAGTGTCTCCTGCGGACAGCTGTGTGAAGGACAGGGCAGATGTGAACTCCCAGGAATGAGACAGAGGAGACTGGGGACTTTCTGGAGCAGGAGGGGGAGGCGGAGAGAATCAGGGCACTAGGGTGAAGGAGGCCACCACCGACAGGAACACAGCCTTTCTGGAGGGTGAATTTATAGGGAAATGCAGTGCAGGTCCGTTTCTACACTATGGCCCTATCTCTCAAATCGCTGTATGCGCCCCACGGCCTCTCCAATCTATGGTCCTCCTGATAGGCTAAGAATGTGCATTAAAGACATGAAATCTGTAGCAATGTTAAGTGGAAACATAATCACCACAAAGAGCTTTACAACTGTCCATCTTTTTTTTTAAGATAGGATCTTGCTATGCAGTTCAGGCTGGCCTTGAACACACTACAAAGCCCAGGCAGGCCTTGGGAATACTGGAGCTCCGAAACTCTTACCCCGAAGGACAGTG